TTTTTTTTTTTTTTTTTTTTTTTTTTTTTTTTTTTTGGTTGCTGTCGAGGTTCCTGGAGTACTACCCTAAATGCGACTGACTCTGTTTTTTGTTTTTGCATTTTTGTCACATGCTTCTCTCACCGCTGAAGGATGCAGGGAGGGCGTAGGTAATGTCCTTCAGGCATGCACCCCCCCTTACGAAACACTCCGCATGCCACGACTTCTCTGTCCTTTTGATAGGGATGTTCTTGGACGGCAAGTGTGCACATATGATGTAGATAGGATAACCTTTTTTTTTCTTCTTTTTTTCCTTTTTTTTCTCTTTTTTCAAGGATAGGTTTTAGGATAGCACTTAGGCTATAGCATTGAGAATAGCACTTAGCCTTATGGCATATAGGATAGCACTTAGGCTTTTGCATTTAGAATAACATCTCTCTCTCTCTCTCTCTCTCTCTCTCTCTCTCTCTCTCTCTCTCTCTCTCTCTCTCTCTCCCCCTCCTCTCTCTCTCTCTCTCTTTTTTTTTTGAGACTGTGCGTAGTTGTTCTACTCGATTTCCGGACAGAGACGAGGCTTTCATTTACAAGTGTCAACTTTTGATTAATTGGCGTCGAATGGGGTGTGCATCTTCATTTGGGTGGCGGGGCCGGGCAGCGGATAAATGAACGATAAGGTTCACCTGCCGGGTTGGTTTCCAGGAGGAGAGAGAGAGAGAGAGAGAGAGAGAGAGAGAGAGAGAGAGAGAGAGAGAGAGAGAGAGAGAGAGAGAGTGCGGATATTTTGATTACGGTAAAAAAGGCTTTACTTCAGTTGAGACCTGCTGACAACAACAATGCTGCATGTACCTGATCGTAATGACGGTGAAATTTAGTCAGTTTCGTGCCAGTGTGAGTATAGTGTGCCATGCAATCTCTCCCCCGTCCACTCTCTGATTGCCTGAGTTGATGCAAAGTACTCTACAAACTGCCTGAATCTCTAGGATGTTTTTCGGGCGCCCGGGCACCCAACTTATGCCCGGGTACACGCCCGGGTGCCCGGCGGGGCATGACCCCCGGGCAGGGTTCCGGGCAGCCCCAGTGCCCAAAAAAAAAAAAAAAAAAAAATTCTGAAAAATAAAATATGTTGTGTAGAATTGCAATACAAACGACTTTTGGCTGAGGGTCACATTAAAATTCTTCACAGAATCGGAGATAACAAAGAAAATAACAGAATCACACTAAGGCACCCCCTTTTAAACCCCTTTAGCCCCTTTCAAACCAATTTATACCCCTCTCAACCCCCCTTGACAGCCAATTCGCAAAATCAGAAATGAGCCCGGATTTGTGGTCGTCTACGAGAGCCCAGATTGCACGCCTGGGTTCCCCGGGCGTCACGCCCGGGTGCCCGGCCGGGCAGGAACGGCCAGGCGTGAGAATCTTCCTAGCTCTCCCCTTAGACTTTGCATAAATCTATCGATACCCCTCTGTCATTTGCCTGAATCTATCCATAGAACTCTGGAAACTTCCATGAGCGATTATTGTGTAACGAAATAAGTTTTGGTGGTTTGCTACCCGTCTTCCCCCAAACACAGCACAACACACCCTGATAACCTAAGTAGCAAATCCGGATATCTGGCAGACCAATTTTATCCGGAATTTTCAATCCGGATGAAATTTCCGGATTAATTCCGGATATGGAAAATCCGGCCCTGCGCAAAATATGTTTTTCTTACCAAAAAAAAAAATTCGAAAAATCTGGAAAAAACTGATGTTGTTCGTATCAATGATATGAACAACTTTTGGCTTGAGGCCATCTTTGATTACTCAACAGATATGAAGATAAAAAAATAAAACAGAACAAGAAAATAATATTTAGATAAAAACTTATAGACTGAATTAAGCATCCCCCCTCTAAACCCCTTTATTCCCTATCTTATCCCCTTTGAACCCTTCCAGGCCATATCAAGCTTTTCATGAAATAGGAACGTAGTTCTATTGTATTTTGCATGCGCGATATCACTTTTTTTTTTTTTTTTTTTTTTTTTAGGCCTTCTTTACAATCATCCGGATTTTCGGATGATCCTTCCCCCCGATCATCCGGACAGATAATCCGACCAGATTATCCGGCCAGATAACCCATGCTACCTAGGTTTTTTTATATGTTTTTTCTTAGAAGTTACAAAATCGTTCTTAGATAATCAATATGATCTTCCATAATTTTGTTGAACATCAGAATGTCATCTAGATACACTATAACAAACTTATACAAATGCGATTCAGATTTGTGTAAAACGTATGAGGCGCATTTGCCGCATTGCATAAATTAAATAGTGTCATACCTGATTTTTAACTTTATCTTGCGTATAACACCCTTTTCAACCATTTCGATCTGATGGCATCCGAATTTTAAATTTATTTTGCCGAAAATTATGCAACCCTGCACCATGTCCAACAAGTCATCGAATTTAGGCAAAGGCTCAAAACTCTTTCCAGTGATCTTATTCACACCTCTGTAATATATACACATCCGGAGTTCCATATTTCGCTTTGGGACAAAGAGAACGGGTGCCTCATACTCAGATGAGCTCAGCCTGATCTATCTATTCTCTGTTAAGAACTCCAACTATTTCCCCAACCCTTCTAGTTTAGTAGGTGATATTCTCTAGACTCTTCTCGTAAGAACGGTAGGGTCAAACATAATTTTGATGTGATGCTTGGTCTGCCTATGCCAGTGCACAAGTACAGTAGGGTCCTGAGCCACTTCAACAAACTCATCAGCTGTGTGTACGTCCGTACGTATACGGCCCGTACGTACTCCCGTACGTACGGGACCCTTGCCGTGTGTACGGCCAGTACGTACGGGATTCCGACCGTCCGTACGGGGTCTTCAAGGGGGGGTCGGGCGTGATTTTCAGGTGGTTGGGTGTCGGGTGGCCTTGGGAGTCGGGCTGAATAAAAAAACAAAGAAAAAAAAGATTTTATTTTTTTTTGGTTGTGTGGAGGGAGGGGGGGTTAAATTTTTTTTTGAGTGTTTTGGGGGGGGGGG